GTCCGTTCTCCAAAAACCCTATAAAAACTCAGAAATTCAGAAGTTTTTAAGCTTTTTGGAAGATTAAAACATTTCCCTTTTTCAGGTCGAAAACTGGTTAGCTACACCCATTCAAATTTTAGTTTTAGGATTCTTTTATATCTCTCAGTTAGATATAACGCCTCGAAATACCCACAAAATTGAAGAGAAAAATAATCAGGCTTTTAGAATGGTATTAAGAGTCTCCTTTTGTCGCCTTTAAAGTTTCAGAGTTAATTCTGGGAACGTGAGGAAATCTTAGCTCTCACTCACGGTAAATTGCGTTTGTGTACTGACATGCTATGGTGTGAACTCGTTGATATGGGGCTATTATAATTTTTCAGTGTAAAAAAGCAGCGTGCAGTAAAGTAAGAAAGCAAAGAGATTGATTCATAAAAGCCACTAAAATGGCATGAAAACTCTTCCAAATGCCATACATACGAGGTTTACCTCTGTGGAAATTTCTCCCCTTCTGTCTTTGAACAAATACATGAAATACAACAAAGGGAACAGCTGACAATTCATTGGTCAACTGAGACACGTTCTAACCAATCATCAGGAAGCTCAACTTGTTATTGCATCATGTCATTTCATAGCTTCGAACAAGCCTTTTCTTGATACTGCGCAACCATGTTATTGGTCGATGTAAAAATCCCTGACACCCGTATTTACTGTACACGTAACCACTTTTTAAGCGTGTTTGTAACATGAAAGTGTAATATTGATTCAGTACGGATAAATAGCTCTTTGGTGTAGCAGAAATATTCATTCTAATCTCAGCTCCTCGAGTCAGACTGCAGCAACACTAAAACTGAAAGGTTAGTAATAAATTCGTTTTGTTTCTGATTTTATTTTTCCAAAGCATGATATTTCTCGATCGGTTTTGATTAACTTTGGAAAAGGCTGAAAAACTCATTTATTTCAATTTAATTATTTTATTTATTTATTTCCCATTCCATTATAGATATTGCCAGATAGATTACAGACAACGTTAGTGCTTGAGTCATAGAAAGTTTACAATACGTCATAAAATACAGTTAAGATCATTGCATTTAAATACTTTTGCCACAAAGAGGCAAAAAAAAAAAAGAAAAAAGAAAACAGGCCAGAAGCGCCGATATTTGCTGGGCAAAACTTCTTAAAGCTCAAGCTTGCAGAAAATCGCCGGCAAGTACTCGAGAGGCCGATGGACTATTCAGAATGCCAAGTTTTTTCGTATTTTTAAAATAAAAATCAGTCAATACAAGCCACAATACGAATATCAATTTTAATGTTAATATTTTTTAAATATGAAAGTAAATAATTACAATGAATTAAAATATTTGTTTAATTTATTTTTCATATTTGAATAAATAAAACTTAATATATTTCTGTGTATAGAAACCAACACGTTGCATTATCAATAGAGAGTTTTAGATCCGAGTTTAACGCGAACCTCTAACCGCGGTTTGCGGTTACCCGTTTGCGGTTCGACGTTCAAACACTATTCGATTTAGATTGGTGGTGAATTAAAGAAGCCATTCTAGGTTTATTTTTCCATTTAGAAATAGAAGAAATATCAATCAGTGATAATAAAAAGAAATTTACGGTAACACTGGGTTATCTAGCAGCAAAGAGCTGTAAATTCTTACATCATGAGTTCTTCTTGCAAATTTACGACCGCCATTTTGAATCAGCAGCCTTGAGTGGCACTTGTTTTCAAGATCAAATAGGATTTATCAAATTTAGACATTTCGCCCGAATTTGTGCCTCTGCTAATGGATAAAGACTTGCTCCACAAGATTTGTATCATTACGTGGGATAAAACAAGAATTATACGCTAAAAGTTTTCAGGTAAATGACATACGTGAAAACCTTCCTCCCCACGTTGAAAACGCATGTCGTAAACTGCTCAAACGTGACGCGAAAGACTTGTCACGTGACCTCCAGCGGTTAGAGGTTCGCGGTAAACTCGGATCTAAAACTTCTCTAATGATATTGTGTCACTCAGTGACTTACCCTTTAACACCCTTTTTTTCAGGACCAAAGATAAAAGGAAACCAAAGAGAGTAGTATGAAACAACCACTGTACATCGCGATTTATGCCCTGTTGATTACTTTGTGTTCCACGAAAGGCAACAGCAGCAGCAACAAAACCCCTGGGAAAGAGGTATATTACATATTAAAACAAAATTTTTGAGTTTCTATTTCTGATCGAACTTCTGGCCCATCGCTTTGACAGTTTTATCAAATCTACAAGACACGTTTCCTGATTACAATAAACTGCCTCTTATAAGCTCTGTGCTTATACATCTTCGTAAGGGGTTTAAGCAAGGCTCATTAACCGAGGCCGGCTTATATCTGAGGGGGATTATAGCCGGTCGGACTAGAAAAAGGACATCGGCGTGAAACAAGCTATAGCAGTGCTACCCAAAGTACTTTTTGCATTTACTGGTTTTAAATTAAGCTCCAAAACTTCATAAAAAATCGAATTCATTTCAATACAAGCTAGAGGAGGGCTTACATCCGGGGGCTTATAATCGGAGGTATTTTTTTTTATTTACATCTAGATGGGCCTATAATTGGAGGGCTTATCAGTGGAGAAGGGGTCGGGGCGGGGGGGGGGGGTATAAGTGGCAGTTTATGATATTTTTCGGGCTGCAAGATGGTTAGTAGCGGATCCAAAAACTGGGTACACAAATGAGATCATCTTTCGGGGGCTTTTTGAACCACGAACTCCCA